CTTACCCTCACATTCTCCCTTTGATTAAAGAGCCTGTTAAGGAAGGAGAGGTTCCATACACCATCCTACATCCTGACATGCCAACATCATGGGAGGAGATGCAGAAGAGTTGGATCCAACTCAAGGAAGAAAGGGATACTTTTGAAGCCAGCTTCTACGCCAGTGAGAAGAAGGTTTTGGAGCTTACCTGCCGACTTCACGACGAGGAGACCCTCAACACTTACATCACACCAAAGAGGATGCGCAACGTCTTTTTACCTTAAGAAGTTTTTGTAATATTTGGCCCATGGGGCATTTGTGTACTAATAAAAAAATTTCTTATTAATATGACGTGTGTTCTTTTTGTCTGCGACAACTTTGAATTTCTAAATCCTTGAATGCATTGCATGAATAAACATATCATTCATCATATGCATAAACAGGTCTTCACACCAGGTTTCCTTATCTTTCTGTTGTTTATTTCAGTAAGATGGGTATTGAGCAGACGGTCAGAGATCTGCAGTCACAAAACTCGCAGTTTCAACAGCTCCTTATGACCTTGGCAAAGGGTCAGGAGGATCTTAAAGCACTGTTAGGGAATAAAGAGCAAGAAAAAGGAAAAAAAGAAGAAGAAAAGAGTTGGGGTAGCTACACTGGGAAGAAGATTTGAGAATGAAGCTAGGAGAGTTCTTGAATTCCCCTCCATATCTGATGAGGGGACCGGTAAAGGAAAAGGGGTTGCATTACCTTCTGAGTCCGAGGATAAAGAGGAAGAGGTTGAGGAAGATGAAGATTATTCAGAGCAGCAATACCCGCCAGCGGATGACAAATACAAAAACCTGGAGGATAGACTGGAATCTATGGAGCTGCAACGGGTTCCCGGGCTAGATTTTGAAGAATTGGGATTGATTGCTGGGATTGTGATCCCTCCAAAGTTTAAGGTGCCGACTTTTGAAAAATACGACGGTTTGTCTTGCCCGAAGATGCACCTAAGGTCATATGTCAGAAGAATTCAACCTCACTCATCCGATAGAAATCTTTGGGTACACTTCTTCCAGGACAACCTGTCTGGTACACAGCTAGATTGGTTTTACCAGCTTGAGAGGTCAGAAGTGCATAGTTGGGAGGATTTGGCAGCTGCCTTTTATCTCCAGTATCAATATAACGCTGACTTAGCGCCGACCCGTACTCAGTTACAAAGTATGGGGATGGCCTCAAACGAGGGATTCAAAGAATACGCCCAGAAATGGCGCGACTTGGCCGAAAGAGTGCAGCCACCTCTTTCAGATAGGGAGCTAGTTGATATGTTCTTGGGAACCCTATCTGGCCCTTTCTTCAACCATTTGATCGGGAGCTCTTCCGCAGGGTTTACTGAATTGATTCTGACTGGCAAAAGGGTGGAAGCTGGTATTAAGAGTGTGAAGATTCAAAGGGATGCCTCTGCATCAACAACTGTTAAAAAACCTTTCCCAGCTAAGAAGGAAGCAGCTGCTATATACTCTCAGAAAGGATTGAGAAGAACTGAGTGCCGGCCGACTGTAGAGTCCGTGATGATTCAAAATTCGTCAAATTATCAGCCTCGTAACAATCAGTCCAGACCTAAACAGCAATGGGGAGAACAGCCACAATGGCAGTTCACCCGCATCAACATGACGCCTGCACAAGTTCTTCCCTATTTGTTGAAGCTGAATCTCACCAATATTAAGGAAGCGCCAAAGAATGTGAACACCACTTCCCCACATTATCATCCCAATGCTAAATGTGCCTATCATTCTGACAGCACCGGGCATGACACCAACGATTGCTGGGCGCTTAAGAATAAAATTCAAGATTTGATAGATGCAAAAGAGGTTGAGTTCGACGCCCCTGAGAAACCAAATGTAATCTCTGCTCCAATGCCAAAGCATGGTCGCAATGTCCATGCTGTTGAAGAATATCTATTTGTTTCTACTATTGATGATCTGATGACCCAACTACTGACAATCAAGTTGAATCTGTTGAAGGCTGGGATTTTCCCAGGTTGTAAAGAAGATTGCTACCTTTGTTCCTCCCTACCAATCGACTGTCCATTGCTGAATATAGGCATCCAACGCCTAATGGACAACCAACAAATTCTTTTCGAAAAGACTCATGTTACTCCAACTCCTATCAATGAAGTTTCAATAATAACCATTTCCGCCAATCTTTCCAAGGTCCCCAAAAGGCCTGTTAAGATTACATCTGCTCCGAAGATTGTAGCCTTGAAAATAACCATGCCTGGGCCCGTCCCATACAAATCTGACAAATCAATACCGTGGAATTATGGTGGAGAAATCTACTACCACGGTAATAAGCAAATTGAGATAACTGAAGAGAGCTCTGACGAAGAAACTGCCGACATTGGAAACATTGCCGGTACGAGCAAAATTACCCGAAGTGGAAGAATTTTCTCTCCAGAGATTGCCCATCCAAAGGCAATCTTTGGACCCTCAACTGTTCCCAAGGTTACCCCTGCACCGGTAAAACTATCTGCAAAAACTCCAATGATTGAAGAAATTGTTACTCCTGTGGTTATCCCTTCTGCTGCTGCTGATAAGGGGAAATGGATCCAAGAAGAGCTCGTCAGGACGAGGGCTCAGCCATTGGTCATCCCCGAAACCTCTAAAAAAGAAATGGAGGAGATTATGAAAATAATTAAGAAGAGTGATTACGATGTTGTAGAGCAACTGGGGCAAACCCCCTCAAAGATCTCCATGTTGGCCCTGCTGCTTTGTTCGGAGGCTCATGCCAAAGCTTTGATAAGGTTTTTGAAGACATCCCATGTGCCCCAAGAAACCTCAGCCGATCAATTCCAGGATTGTGTAGCCATCCTTACCGCCGACAACGGCCTGGGTTTCTCTGATGCTGACCTGACCCCGAAGGGAAGAAAGCACAATGACGCATTGCATGTGTCAGTTGAATGCCGAGGAACTACTCTCGCCCATGTCTTGGTCGATACTGGTTCTTCTCTAAATGTGTTGCCTAAGAAAGCTCTGGACCGGTTGGATGTAAAGGCTTGGAGCTGAAACCAAGTAATATCATTGTCAGGGCCTTTGACGGGTCTAAAAGAATGGTGCATGGGGAGGTCGACATTCCCATCAAGGTAGGCACTGAAGTATTCCACTCTGAAACAACCGGCTGAAAATCATCAAACAATGAAGTCGCCATCGAACGTCTTTTATCCCACATGAAGGGAAAAGTAAACATCGAGGAAACCTGAAAATGGTGAAATCAAGGTCTTGCGACCGAGAGATAAGGGTAAAGGAGTCTGTTACGCGAGGGGAAGGTATTAGCACCCCACACGCCCGTAGTACTCTACGGTATCCACTCTTGTTGTCTATCTTATGGGTGTGTTTAATCTATGCTTACGGTTTATTATCGCTAAGGGGAGAATGCATGTAAAAGAAAAGAGTGAAGAATGTAGGGAAAATAAAAGTTGTGCTCGTTCGGGCCCTACCCCGATGCCTACGTATCCCTTCTAAGGAATCAGAGCAGCCGTAGTTCGGCTTATATGTTTTTGTTAGTTTGTATTTTTTTAATGAACAATATTAATTTCGCCTTCTGCCGCAACTCGACCTTTAGAGACTTACGCGTCAGCACAGAAGTGAATTAATATGCTCTTTTGAAAAGTTTGGGAAGAAATGTGCCTGGACGCACAAAAAGGTTTGAATTTGGATCGTGTTTTTGATGAACGGTATTAATTTCTCCTTCTGCCGCAACTCGACCTTTGGAGACTTACGCGTCAGCACAGAAGTGGATTAACATGCTCTCTTGAAAAGTTTGGAAAGAAATGTGCCTGAAGGCAAAAAGAGTTTTGTGTTGGTCGATGTTTTTGCTTGTAAGTAACGACTAGTTGACCTCAAGAGAGGGATTTTAGCCATTTCTCTACTTATTTGTGAAAGGAGTCTTTGAGACTTGAACCGTGCCAAGAATTAGAATGGAAAAACGATAAGATCGAGAAGAGACCCGCTTATCGTCTCCCATGTTCAATAAAGGCACGATTCTCGTCAGCAATTTTTTTTAAGTATTTTGGAGTTTACGAGAAAAAGAAGTTTTTGTTTTTAAATGCATATGCAAAAAGAAAAAAGAAAAGTCACAGGGAGACTAACCTATTTCTAAACCTAAAGTCATCATACTATTAGACCTAAGTCAAGGGTGAATGAAAGGGGAACGTCTACCTAATGTTAGCATACATGGATTTAGAATAAAGCCCAGTTTCTCATGATTTCTAGAAAAACAGTAAAGTGTGAAGTGAGATAAATAAGAGAAAATACCAAACGGGTATCAATCCGTAGTAAAGCGAACAAAACAAAGAAATCCGACGATCTTCGCGAAAGCTTTACCGTTCAAAGAGAAGAGTTAGAAACCAAATGCCCGGAATAAGCGTCGACGCATCATTGATTGTGAAAATAAATCACAATCGAAATTTCAAACGCATCCAAATATTGCACAATAAACCTGCATGAGATTTCAGACCTCAACAAGCAAAAGGTGAAGTATGAAGCATCAGAAATGAAATGATTACTTAACCATAAATCATAAAATAAAATTCTAACAAAATTCTAAAAGAAGAAAAATGTAGAGAAATTATATTATATTCCTAAAAAAAACAATTAACAAATATTTTTTTTGGTTTTTATGAATAATTTTGACAATCAAAAATTATAGAAAGGAAATTAATGAAAAAAAAAACTAGAATTCTAGTCAGAAGGGGGTATAGACCGAAATCCAGGAGTATGGCCGCTAGAAGGCTTGGGCGCTAGGCCCAGCAAGGTTCTCTCTTTTTTTCGCAGCAAGCCAGCTTCCAAAAGAAAAAATGTTGGGCTTCAGAATGTTATTCAACCCAACCCGGTCAAACCAAAGTAGTCTTTTTTTTGCATCTTGCTTCAGCTCACCGAAAAAACTTCCTTGGACTTAAGAAAATGGAACAGTTCAATGAAAACAAAATGAAAGATGAAAAATGGCGACATGAGTTAGGGTTGAGTTTTGTGACGATTCATCTTTTACGAAGAATAAGCTTCTTCATCCTCACGAGCTTCAAACGACGCGGCTACATCGTCTTCACACTCCGACGATTTCTCCACCATTCGGTATTGTTCCGCTCTTCCTTCTTCTTTGCTTATCTCCGATGCGGCTCTAAATTTCATCACGATTCAGCTTTCTTCAACACTAAATGGAGAGATCAACATCATCTTCATCCTTAACTCCATCTTCCTCGATGAACTAGTCAAATGCGCCGCCGTGAGATTTCGCCAATTCATCGTCATCTCCAACCTCGAAGTTGCAAAGTTGTTTGTAGTAGTGTGAATTGAAAACCAGCGGGGTAGATTTTGATAACTCAGGTACGTCCTCTTTGGCCTTGTATTTTGAATTCCTCTTCTACTTCTTCTCTGATTCATTTCCCTATGCGTTCTTTGTTGATTCTTGAAGATGAGATCGTGATGCACTATTTGTTGATTTGTGACACTATTGCAGCGGATTCGGTAGCTTGAATCATGCGAAGATTGGGGGTGTATGAAGATGAGAAGCTCTAGAAGAAGCTTGTTGCAGAAGATGATTGAAGATTGGTTCAGAGATGATGAAGGCGATGACATGGAGGAACTGATGTTGTTGATGCGGTTATTACTGAGAGAAGAATGTTGAAGATGCAATTAATCATGACGATTCTGCAAAGAAGAAAGTTGCAGGGAGAATCTTTGGTTGAAGATTGAAGAAGAAAGCAGAGAGAAGATGAGAGCTCTTTTTGGTGATTCTTCTAACGATTGAAGAATGAATCATGAAAGAGGTAAATTTTTCTCTAACTTTTTCTGAATTTTTTTTTTGAGAAATTTTGTGTCCTCCCTGAATAATGAACCTGATTATGTATATATGACGAGAGAGTTGGAGGGAGCTTAGATGGAAGCAGTGATGTTGAAAGTTATGACAAAGATGAAGGTTGTAAGGTGATGAAGAAAATGCCAAGGTGGAGGTTTGAAAGAGGCGATGCCGAATTGAAAAAAAAGTGATCGAAGATTGAAGCCGAGTAGTGATATCGTGCAGTTTCAGAAATTGTAAGAAGACAAATTGAGAAGTTTCTTGTGCTTTTTCTTGGTGAGTTTCCTTTTGAGATTTTCTGTTTTTGTGGATAATGAATCCTCCTTGTTTTTTCTTGGTGAATAAGTGATTTGTGGATCTGAGAGTCCATCCCCTCTCCTGCATTCTGCTAAATCTTATATATATTTTTGTAGAGTTTGTTAGGAGTTTATGAGCTTTTGAATTCGGTTAGAAAAAACAGTTTGAAGGTTAAGTATTCTGTTGCAGTTTTTTTTAGAAGCGGTTAGAGTTATTTAGGAAGTTGGAGGAAATTTGTTAAGTTTGTGAAAGTTAGTTATAGTGCTGTTAGGAATTTATTAGGATGCAGTTAAAAAAAATCTGTTAATTCTGTTTGCAGTTAGTAGTTTAATTGTTAGATAGAAAATCAGAAGTTAGAAAATCTGTTAAGAATAGTTAGTTGGCAAGATGAAGGTTATGTCATTGGCTTGTTAGTTTTGGTTCTGATTGTGAATTATTTTGATGCAATTTTACAGGTTGAGTTCCAAGTGGCCAGTAGGACTTGTGTTTCCAACCGCATTTGAATTATCCTGTGTTTTCTCAGCAGAAGATGATGGCGGTGCTTGTGGCTTTGAAGAACTAATTTTTTTTGGAGAACAGAAACCTTGTGTTTGTGAACTGGAAGAGCGTTTACCTCTTCTTCAGTCATAGAAGGTGCAGTAGAAACATTATCCAAATCCTTATCTCTTAACGTTCATTAATCTAGATCATCAAACTCCCGGTCAAGAAGTGTCAGCTGAAGTCTGAGACCCTGCAGACGCCCTCGGCTTTCAAGCGTTATCGATGGAGGCATATGCAATCGTAATTCTGTATGGCCAAGAAGACCACTGGCTGCTGCTGCATGAGCTTGGGCCTGGGCTTGAAGCTGTTGACAAGCTGAAAACTACAACATCGGCTCTCTTGATCCTTCTAGACGGTGGCAGATACCCAGCATCAGCTATGCATGTGAAGAAACTCTCAATAGCTCGGGCAAGGCAGTATAATGATATCTCCATTCGCCTGCTTTTATTTTCAATAGCTAATCCAAGTCCAGGTGGGAACGTTCCCATGGCGACCATTGGAATGTTACATCTTTTGAAAATCCTAAACAGAAAGCATGTCCACATCCAGGCGGATGTACAGTAAACTGACAGAAACAAGCTTGATCTTGCATTGCCAATAAGAACCTTTGTCAATATTGTAAAAGGCCTTTGTAAAAGTCCTTTTTTATGAACTATTAGGGCAGGTATCAGATAAACTGGAAAATAAATAGGTAACGCTCTTTTGTAGGCTTGACCGAGAAAAGAAATGACGTGCCCGCCACATGATTGATTCCCATGTACAATCGAGCATGGGACTTGCATATTTGGATCTAATTTCACATCGACACCCACGGTCTTGTAGTATTTCTCTATTGCATGCAGATTAGTAAAAGCCTTGCCACTGGCTATATCTTTTACACCTTGTAAGATAACTGAATCCTTTCCACCATGTTTATTAAGAAAGGATTTATATGAAGCAGGTAAACTGTCTTGGTGTAATATATAAGCAGACAAAATTTGGGAAGAGGAGAGATACATGAGGAAAATGTCTTCGTGCTTCCATGTGAGAGGCTTACAAATTCTCCCAAATCGTTTACTCTTAATCCCACAACGAGATGCTAAGACAGCAGCACGCATGAGAATGTAAATGGCCAAGCTTGTGTGTTGTGTAGGATTTTTATAATTTCTTTTGTAACATGATGGTAAAATTGTAATGAAAATGTTTTGAATGCCATCTTGTATTGCAATGTAGCATGGAATTAGTCAAGCTTGCAATGTAACTTTGAGAATTCAATGATAATTTCTTCAATGTACCTTTCTCCTCGAAACTGATTTTGAAGTTCCAAGTTCTTTTTCTCAAATATTTCCTTTAAATACCTTTATATGAATTTAAATAATCATGGTAGGAATTCAAAATATTTGCAAGGTAATCATAAGAGACTTTAATCTTGAATGAATTCTTGAATGACTATGGATGGGAATAGTTCCGACTTGTAATAGAATTTTGATTTCTTTTGTAAATTTGTAGCCTTAGTGTTATTGCTTTATGAATTATGTAGTCAAAGCAGAGGCTTGAATGAGATGTAACTGGTAGAACTTGAATATGCTGAAACTTGCTACAATTCAAAATTCCATGTCTATTATTTATGAGCTTTTTGCAAGATGGATCCTCTTGAATTATGACACTTCTAAACATTCTTTAAGTTTCTTAGCTTTCGGTAAATGGAGGCCTTGATCACTTTTTAGTCAAATTAAGGATTATATCCATCCGACCTCAAATTTAATCCATGGTACTCCATGATGAGTGTCTTATGTGTTTTCACAAGAACATGAATCAGAATTTCCCTTGTATGCAATATTCCTATAAGAGCTTTGGTTCAAACAAACTTGTACACCATGCTTTGGATCTTAAAACTCAAATTTCGATGTTTGAACTTCCAATTTTAAACACCTCGCACCTCAAACTCGCATGAATGGAGACCCTTGACTTTTAACCTTGAATGATGACATATTTGTAAAAATGATGATGATTTGTACTTGGAATGTGAAACTTTGATGACTGAGATGTCTTTTGTAACTTCGGTGTAATGACTTGAATTTGTAATGAACAAAACTTTATAACTTCTTGCATGACAAATTTCCAATTATTCAACACATTTCTCTCATTCAGTTTGAGCTTGAATGGATACTTGAATGAACTTGAGACAAACATGATAAACACTCGAATGTTATTTAAATGAATCTTTTTATCTTTTACCTTGGGATGAACAATAATGTGGGATAATCTAGAAAATAAAAACTTGAATCATGAAGAGATTTACTTGATACCATGTACTTTAATCTCAACTTATATTCATGTGCCATCTTCCTCCGCAAGAATTTATGAAATAAACCTTCGGGCACGCTATTCCCCTTTTTTATCAAGTTGAACCTTAATCCATGTTTGAAACCAAAGTTCTTGTACAAATATCCAAACAATAGCTTGTATCAATTATTCGTAATGCCTTGACTGTCAAGCAACCAAATTTAACATACAAAATATCTTGAATCATGACGTCCCCAATCCTAATTGATTAACTTAAGGATAGATGAATTTAACGCAACAATGACATAGTCAACAACCTGTAATGCAAGCATCATATACATCCTGGATTGATAACAGATCTTGATCCTTTAGAGAGATCTTAATACACCTCTGGTGTTGACAAAACCTTGACCAAATGATAAGCACAATGATAGAATGAGGTGTTTTGAATCATGTACACGAGATCACAACCTTACGTTATTGACAAGAATACCCTTCAACCTATTGTTCAGCAGAAGATAATAGTCTTGTAGCTTGATGGAGAAGAAATTCAAGATGAACATTGAAGCAAAACCCTAATTCCACAGCTTGCTGCCTGAATAAGAAATCATCCTTTATCGGATATGAGCGCCTTAACCACTGTGAAACCCTAGTATCGCACAACCACTGAACTTTGAACCTCAGAGCTATATTGAATGAAATGTATGCCATGTTAGTGACCTAATGAAATAGATGCAGATGAATGCAAAAGTCTAAGCCAAAATAAAAGAAATTAGGAGGGCAAATTTTAGGGTGCAACAGCTGCCCCTATTTAATCGCCTTCAACCTGAAGGTGAGATTGGCGCCAGCCTTTCTAACTTTCAAGGTAGAAGAAGATTAAATACTAAAAGAACCCGAAAATTTTCACTCCGAAGCCAGTCAGGTATCATTATTTTTGATCTTTCTGTATTTTATATTTTTTTTTGCTTTCTAGGTTAAAGGGGTTATCGGGGTTAGATGTATGTTTAACCAGGGTTTGACACACAGCAGAATAACTTGGTTATCAAGGAACGTCTATTGGGATTCAGTAACAAACACCTGTAAGAAAGATATCAAAAGATATATGCCTGAAGTCCGTAGCAGACATACGGGAAAAAAGTACCAGAGACACATATCCGGGGTTGGTAGCGGATATACAAGAAAGAGACATCAAAAATACATATCTGTGGTCGGTATCAGACACGTAAGAAAGAGATATAAAAGATACATATCTGTGGTAGGTATCGGATACAGACGAAAAAGACGTCAAAGGTACATATTCGTGGTCGGTATCGGATACGTACGAAAAAGACGTCAAAGGTATATATCCGTGGTTGGTATCGGATACGTGCGAAAGAGACATCAAAGATACATATTCGTGGTCGGTATCGGATACGTACGAAAGAGACATCAAAGATACATATCCGTGGTCGGTATCGGATACGTACGAAAGAGACATCAAAGATACATATCCGTGGTCGGTATCGGATACGTACGAAAGAGATAGAAAAGATACATATCTGTGGTCGGTATCGGATACGCACAAAAGATATAGAAAAGATACATATCTGTGGTCGGTATCGGATACGCACAAAAGAGATATCAAAGATACATATCCGTGGTCGGTAGCGGATACGCACAAAAGAGATATCAAAGATAC